CTCCGCCTCCGCGCTGCTCCTGCTGCTGCTTCTCCTTCTCCGGGCTGAACGTCGGGGGGCGCCGAGCTCACCTTCGAGCTGCCTGACAACGCCAAGCAGTGCTTCCACGAGGACGTGGAGCAGGGCGTGAAGTTTTCCCTGGATTACCAAGTAAGGCCTTGGCTCCCGGTGGCGCCTCCTCTCTCTCCCCCCTCCAGGTCTCGCCTGGGCACTGACGCGCCCCAGGTTGGAGTGGCTGGAGTTAGCCACAGAGGCTGCAGGGGCCGGGAATGACTGGGGACCAGTTGACTTCCCCGTGAGGAGGAACGTTTTGATCACTCAGAACCCACTCAAGACAGCCCCGACTAAGCAGGGGAGTAGCGCCGCAGGTGCGTGCCCAGGATGGGGATGCCCCGGGGGCGGGTCCTGCATCCTCTGGAGTTGGCCAGAGTAACTTCCTGCAGGCCCCTTGACTTTAAGGAATGAGATCTATGATTAGCTGGACCCAGGCTCTCTGTCCCAAGTTTCTTGGAGTGCTTTGTCCCCTCCTGTACTGAAAAAATGGTGGCAAGAGGAAAAGGGTTTGTGGTTTTATTTTTCCCTCCAGCGTTTGAAGTCATAGCTGGGGTGAGCGCGGAAGTGATGAAAATGGGTGCTTTGGAAAGGAGGTCTCAGCACAGCCTTAGAGCTCTGGCAGTGTTTACAAGGAGTGATGTGGCTGCAAGACTTGGCTGCTGCCATATGGCTCAGAACAGCTCCCAGCTCCAGCACTCCTGGCTCCTGTGAGAGATCTCATGGCTCACATTTCAGGGGAGCAGGTCTTGAGTAAGGAATCTGCCCTTCAGGTTTAGTGAGCAGATCTAGGTTTGGGGGGCTGAGTGGGGATTATACCCAGACAGGCTCTGCTGGTGGACACATACTGTCAAGCATTTACAGAGATGAGGAAGGACAGACGGCAGGAGTAAAGGCTGGCAGGCCATTTGATGGGCCCTTTCTGACCAAAGCGCCTAAAAGAGGCTTGTGCTTGGGGACAGCATCATGTATGATGGCCTCTGAGTCGTTCGTCTAGCCACTTTCAGATCTCTGTGGACAGTGTGCAAATTGCGGCTGGGTTAACAGGGGTAACCTAGGTATGGTCACCAAAAATTGATCATTATGAGGCTGGAGGGGGCCTGAGAGGTCATCTGGTCACTGCTGGGTCAGGAATCCCTGTTAAGGAGTATTCAGCCTGAGTTAAACACCTCCAACATTAGGAAGCTCACTAATCACAAAGCAACTTTTTCCATCTGGACAAAAGGAAATTTTAAAGTTTGGAAGCAAATGGAGGCTGTTGACTGTGTTCTCTGATGGTTGTTGGTTAGAAGCGATTGACTGCCTGTGTGATTTTGCCCTTTGGAGGTTTTTCCCCTTCCTATGTTTACAGAGAAAGTTTGAGCTAGTGATTCCTGGGAGCTCTCCCACCTCTGATAGTCACTGATTCTGTGAATGCTTCAGTCTGTATTTGCCTTCCCCTTGCATTCCATCAGCAATAATACGAATATTTAACAGACGCGTTCAACAATTTGCTTAACCTCGGACCCTCAGTTTCCTCTTCTGTGAAATGGGGAGGATTAGGCTCTTTGTACTCTTTCAAAGCAAAACCTTTGGAATCAGACAGGCATGAATTCAGGTCTGTCATTTTCAAGCTGTGTGATCATGGCCACTTTACCTCTCTCAGCCTCAGTTTCATCCTCTGTAAAATGGGGCATGTCATAGTACTTGCTTTAAAAGGTTGTGAAGATTAAATGAAAAAAATGTTTGTGATGTCTAATCAGTGTCTGGTTGGTGTTTGGTAAGTGGTGATTGCTCCTCTATTAACATTGGACTGTGGGTGTCTTTTGTGGTTGTCAGGTCATCACTGGAGGCCACTACGATGTTGACTGCTATGTGGAGGACCCCCTGGGGAACACCATCTACAGGGAAACCAAGAAGCAGTATGACAGCTTCACGCACCGGGCTGAGGTCAAGGGCGTTTATCAGTTTTGCTTCAGTAATGAGTTTTCCACCTTCTCTCACAAGACCGTCTACTTTGACTTTCAAGTGGGCGACGAGCCCCCCATTCTCCCAGACATGGGGAATAGGGTCACAGCTCTCACCCAGGTGAGTGGACATTTACAGCCATAGACTGAGCCCCGCAACCTGCTCCTCCTCCTCTGTCCCCCTCTTGGCTGATCAGCTCCCAGTCTGAAGTCTCAGTGTTGGCTCTGCCCCTCGCTTCACATCCAGTCCTAAGGACAGCATGTTCCCCTTCCCCCCTTCCTGTCTGTTCTTGAACTGGACCCCTGCAGTACTCTCCTCTGGTATTCCTGTGTTGCCATTCAGTCTTTGACAGCACTGCTTTCAAAGTACACGTAGCATGTGCCTCTCTCTGCTCATATGACGTATCTACATCAGAAAGACCAAAGTCCTACTTTGTATGTATTAGTTAAGGGAACACAAGCTGCTATAACAAGCCCCAAATACCAATGGTTTAACACAGTGGAAGTTTTTTTTTTTTTCTTATTCAACTAATAATGTAGTGAGTCAGGGTAGGGGTGGAAGGCTTTCCTCAATGGAGTTACTCGGGAAGCCAGGCTCCTTTCTTGTCATCTTTCTGCTGTCCCTTAGGGCTTCAGAGTCCTCTGCCTCTAGCCACTAAAACAAGGAGGAAATGAAAAAGCCCCACCTGCGTCTTAAAAGCCAGAATTAACACCATCACTCCCACTCATATCTTATTGTTGAGAAAGACCCATGTGGACAGTCTGGATGAAAGGACGGCTAGCAGATACGGTCCTGTTGGGCAGTCGACTCTTTGCAACAACTCCACACTCTGGAAGAGAAACGGTGATATTTTGGGGGACAGATAGTCACCTCTGTCACCCATGGCTCTCATGCTTAACTATAATCCAGTCCTAGCCTCCTCCATCAGTCTTCCCTCCCTCCCACATGCAGGCTCTGAGGCTAGGGACTTTGTATTCCTTACCCCCGTGTCCCCAGCGCCCCAGTGCATGGGGTGTGGCACAGAATAGCAGCTCACCAAATATTTGTCAGATGACTGAGCGGCAGGGCCCAGGGACACCCGCAACACAGGGATGACCGTGTATGGTTGCACCTGTTCCAGGACCAAAGCCAGAGCATCTGAATCTCCAGAGAGGCCAGAGTACCTTCCAGGCTGCCCTCCGAGGTGACCAAATACCCCGTTCCCCTATGGCTTTGACCATGGGTTTGTTCCCTGGGCAGTTGGGGTTAGTGGCTCACTGCCCAGTGTATCACTCTCTGCACATGGCTATTTAAATTTAAATTACTTAAAATTAAGTTAAAAATTCACTTGTTCATTTGCTCTATGGCAACATTTCTAGTGCTCAGTAGTCACAAAAGTGGCTAGTGGCCATGCGTGGAGAGTTCCTTGGGACAGCACTGGGTTTGAACTTGGCAACGTGACTGCCGACAGAAGGGCCAGCCCAGGGTGTGTACTGTGTGTAAGATCTTTCACAACCTATCCTCTCGAGAGCTCTGTTGGTCATTGATGAAACAGCTTCCGCCTTGAAGATTGTGTAAGTCTCCAGAAGCTGAGCTGAAGGACTTCCGTCTCTTGCCAGTGGAAAAGGAGTTGGTGGAGAAGAGGCTTAATGGACTCATGCAAGAGAGACGTTCTTTCCTGGAGCCTTAGAATTGGAGTTTGGTTTTGTTGCAGGAAGAGGGATTGCGCCTCCCTCTTCTTTGTCTGGGAGCCTCGTCCTTCCGCCCAGCCTCAGCAGAGCTCTTCCCTTCAACCGCTGTCCCTCTGGCCCCTCTGCCCGAACGGGCCGGGTTGTGTCTGCGTCTGCCTCCGGGAGCGCTGGCTCGCCTGTAGGGGGCGCTCAGTCTGCGCGCCGTGCCGGGGTGGTGCGGCTTCAGGGAAGTTGGACGGCGCCGTCCCAGCCGCCAGGAGCCCTGCGTGGAGGGTGGCCCTGTAACCCACGTAGCCACGGGACGTGTGATCAGGGCAGTGATTTAAGGGCGAGGGCTCTCCAGGGAGGGACCCGCTGACTCTTCCAGGAGGCTCAGGGAAGTCTTCACAGGGAGAGTTCTAGCTGAAAAGCGACAGTGTGGGCGGTCACCCAGGAGTGTGTCCGGCGCTGAGGAGGGAGGGCCGCCCAGGCGGAGAACAGCAGGTGCAGGTGTTCATGGTATAGCTTCCACTTTCCTCGCCGGCCCTTGTCTTGTTTCCCTCGGCTCGATCCTTGCTGCCTCAGCTGTCATCTCTCTTCCCCTGAGACTTGGTCCAGCCCCGTGCTGGGCCAGAGACCGTGTTTTCTGGTACCAGTATCAGTACTAGGGTTGAAGGAACAGGACAGAGTGGCCAAGGCCCAGGCCAGGGCTTCAGGCCAGAGGGACTTGTCTTTGGCCTGAGTTCCAGCGTGACCAGGCTCCTACCAGAGGATGTGGGCTGAGCCTGCTACTAGGGAGCCCAGACTGAGGGCTTCCTGAGAATCTGGGCAGGTCACAGCCTAGGCTGAAGGTTCCTGACAGAGGTCAAAGGCCCGGGGCTGCCTCGGTAGTGGTTGAGGGAAGATTAAGGGTCATCTCATGCATCCCTGCCTTTGAGTTCCTGAAGAATGTAAACAACCAAGAACTCCTATCAGTGAAGGCCCTGATGACGTGAGGCTAAAGGAATTTGCTGGTGGTCACACAATGAAGACCTGGGCATCAGCAGGTGTAGAGGCAGGATGGGATGTTGGCGTGGGATAGAGGAAAGGGATGGTCCTGGGAGGCGGACTGGTCAGGGTGTCTCCAGAGACCAACTGTCATGATGGAGCAGTGCCCAGAATCCCTGTGAGGTTCCAGGACGCCAGAAGCCAGCCAGGGCTGGAGGTTTTGGCAAGGCTGAAGGTTGCACTCTGGGGAGGTGGGGACCTGGGCAAACAGGGCTTTTAGGAGCAGCAGGGATTCTGCTGGCTTCCCTCAAGGCAGGAAGCAGGCTGGCCGGGTTACCTGACATTTTGTGATAACAAGCTGAAGAGGTGCCTTAGCCTGATGCCAATGGCAGATCCCAGTGGCTGGGGAATTAGCATGTTTTTGTGCTAGGGGATGCTTCCAGGTGTCTGTGGATCTGGGGATGTGTTGTGCTGGCGTCTCCGGTGGGGTCTATGCCAGGCTCTAAAGGTGTCTGCTGGCTTTAGATGCTAGGAAAGCTGCAGAGTCCCAGCTGTTGCTCTGTTACCCTCTGGGAACCGGCCTCCTTCCCTGCCGCTGATCTGATCCGAAGCTGTTCCTTTAAAGGCCTCAGGCCCTCTTCATAGAATCACAGTGCTGGTCTCTGGCCGGTGACATCGGATCTAAGCCTTTAAAGTGATGCCTTACGTAGCCTATCTGATCTATTCTCTGCCTGGGGCACCTGCACGTGTGATATCTGTGCCCTCCTTCGTTTCTCTTCCTCTCCCCTCCTCCTCCTCTAGTGATTCTGGACCCTGGGAGAAGGCTGGAGGTATCAGCCTATACTGCTGAATGCCCAGTCTCGGGCCCAGGGGTCCAAGGAGCTTCCAATTCAAGTGAATATAATTAAGTTTCTGAATGCTCTTGTGATGGAAATAAACACGGAAAATGGAATTCTAGCCTGGAAAACCAGTGAGCCCTTCCCTAGTGTTTAAAAACAAAGCCTCTGTGTATTTATACATACTAACCATGTGTATACATGCATATGTGCACATGTGCGTATGTGTGCGTACACACAGGCATGCGTGTGTGTGTCTACACATACATATGTGCATCTCCGTTCATCCCATTAATTTCAGGAACAATATGCGTGTTACCAAGTCCTCTAGGTGTCTCACGGCTCAACCCTTCTCCCCCTACTTGGCGACCTCCTCAGTTGAGGCCCTCGTCTTTTCCTTGCCCGCAGATTGCAGCAGCCGAAGTGGTTTCCCTGCCTCCCATCTCCCCCTGCATCGTGGCTTCTCTTCAAGTGGGATCCTGGTCTTGCCATTCTTTTGCTCACAGAGCTGATTGTTAAAGTCTTGACTCTCAAGGCCTTTGCTGTGAGCCTCCACCTACCCACGACTTCCTCCCCACACAGCCCCTGCCCTGGGCAGGGCCCTGCAGGTGCTCCTTACCGGGCTTTTCTTACCTGCTTGCCCCTCATCCTCTGCCAGGTGACGTGCTGTCCATCTGTCAGGGTTCAGTTTTCCACTTCCTGTGTCAGGTAGCCCTCTACCTCCCCTGACAGGATTAGCAGCTTTCTCCTCCCAGCTTCCCCATAACTCTGCTCTCCCCTCTCTTGCTGGCTCTTGTCACAATCTCATCACATTGATCCCTTTCTATAAATTGTGACCTTTTTGAGACCCAGGACTGTGCCTAACTCTGATTGATCTCTCAGTTTCCTGGGCCCAGCATCATGTCTGGAAGATAAATAGGCATTTAATAAATAGACATTTGAAAGAATGAATCAGTGGGAGTTTGGGCTATAGAAGAGAGCCCTGCATGATTTGGAATCCCTGTATTCTCATTTTCACGGGTATCTCTTTTGAGTTCCCCAGCCCTACCTTCAGTAACTGTGGTCTTGCAGGAACCACCAGGGTGATCTAGAGAACTAGTTTGACTTACCAAGTCCTCCTGTGTCGTGGTCATAGGTAGTGACTGGAAGGGGGCTCTAGGGAAGCTTCTAGAAATGTCATACCTTGATTCAACTTCGGTACAAGTTGGCACTTAAAAGTCCCTTTGGAAGCAACTTCTTGATGTCAGGAGCCCTTCTCAGGATCATTTGTCCTTTTCTCAACAGCAGACGTTTATAGGTACAGGCATTCCTTGTTTTCCTGTGCTTCACAGGTGCTGCCTTTTTTTTTTTAACAAATGGAAGGTTTGTGGCTGTGATGATGGTTAGCATTTTTTAGCAATAAAGTGTTTTTTAATTAAGATATGTACATTTTTTTTTAGACACAATGCTGTTGCACACTTAACACGCTACAGAATCGTGTAAACGTAACTTTGATACGCACTGGGAAACCAGAAAATTCGTGTGACTCGCTTCATTGTTGTATCTGTTTTACTGCGGTGGTGTGGAACAGCATTGGCAGTATCTCCGAGGTATGCCTGTGCAACCTACCCACCAAACGTGGGGAGCGTGAAGACCCCGGGCTGGCTAACCCCACTTGCAAGAGGAGACTGCAATCTAATGGCCCAAACAGTGGGTGTGCAGGGCGCCACTGAGGAAGCAGGTTCAAAGTTCCCCTTGGGGGGTAACTGAAACACAGACAGGCTTGTTCCTTACTGTGGATTCTGCCCCTTGAACTGGTGCCCAGTCGAGCTCCACTAACTCCACCTGATACACAGTAACCGTGTCAGTTTTCCCTCCATGTGACATTTCGCCACCTCTTACCCGCAGATCAGAATGAGGAGTCAGCCAGTATGTGCAGAGGAAGCCCACGCCCCTGGAGGTAGACCAGTGGTCAGACAGAAGACGCTGCCTTGTCAACAGAAATGCTGAAGGGCAGCTTGTCTGTCCTCCTGTAGTCTAGCTTAGTGCCTAGAATAGCCTGGAATAAAGACTATCTAATGGGACAGGTAAGGACAACACACTTTCTCGGTCAGAGTCCCCCATTTGCCTTCAGTCTGTGAGAGAACTGAGGGGTGTCGGGGGCAGTCACGGCGGTTACACTGGTTCAGTCCTCTCTGGCGCCTTGCGCCTCGCTTTGTCGACGGCCCACCTTTGGAGTTCGGGGGCTGAAGCAGATGTCTGCTGGATGCTGTATGAACTTCTCTAGCCCGAGAACTCACTGTTGGGTTAGAATTTTCTAGGTTTTGGATAAAATGATGTTTTAGAGATGGCCTGTGAGTAAGAGCTCATGTTCCTTCACAGACATGATGTATCTGTTTTCTGTTGCTGAGTCAGCAATGACTATGAACCTGATGGCTGCAAACGACACCCACCTATCATCTCCCAGTCCTGTGGGCTCTGAGCCTGGGCAGGCTCAGCTGGGTCCCCTGCTCAGGGTCTCAAGGCTGAAATCAAGGTGCCGGTGGGCGGGCTTCTCATCTGGAGGCTCCAGGGAGGAACATGAGTGCTTTGACGCTCATTCAGGTGGTTGGTGGAATTTAGTTCCTTGAGGCTGTAGGACTGAGTTCCCTATTTCCTCGTTGGCTGTTGAGCTCTCAGGTCCTGGAGGCCTTTCTGTGGTCCTTGCACGTGCCCTTCTGTATCTTCAGAGCCAGCAGTGGTGCACCGAATTCTTCTCGGGCATCCCGCCTCTCTGACCTTTCCTTCAGCTGACCAGCTGGGGAAAGCTCTCTGCTCTGAAGGGCTCCTGTGATTTGGTCAGGCCCACCGGACAGTCTCCCTGTCTTAAGGTCGACTGTGCCATAGAACAGTCCCGGAAGTGACAGCTCATCATATTTGCAGGTTCCTGGGATTAGGGCAGGGAATCTGGGGGTCATGATCCCGGCCTCTCAGAGATGTGGTATTAAGTAAGAGAACACAGGGCAGTGGTGGGAAGCATAGGCTCGGGACTTAGATAGTTGAGTTTAAATCCTGACTCTGCTGTCTCCTGTGTGGCTCTGAGCAAGTTACTTAACCTCTCTGAGCCTCAATTAGGCTTGTTCGGAAGGTTCAGTAAAACCACGTCAAACCCTTAGTGCAGACACGGCCAGCATTCAGTAGAATTACCGAGGATGTTGACGACAACGCGTGCGGTGTGCCGGGCTCCGTTCTTCTTTTCTGGGGGTTCGCGGTGACTGCTTTTCTCTCCCTGTGCAGATGGAATCTGCCTGTGTGACCATCCATGAGGCTCTGAAGACGGTGATTGACTCCCAGACGCATTACCGGCTCCGGGAGGCCCAGGACCGGGCCCGGGCCGAAGACCTGAATAGCCGAGTCTCTTACTGGTCTGTCGGTGAGACGATCGCCCTGTTCGTGGTCAGCGTCAGCCAGGTGCTGCTGCTGAAAAGCTTCTTCACAGAGAAACGGCCCGTCAGCAGGGCGGTCCACTCCTAGTGGGGCGCTCTGCTCCCGGCCCCGCGCTCCCCAGGATGGAGCAGCTCCTCGAGGTCACAGGCTCCTGGGGGCTGGTGGGCACAGCCCAGGGTGTGGGGGCAGAGCTGCCTGGAGGAGCGCAGGGTGATGTGCCCTCACCTGCTCTCTATTCAGATGCCTGGTCCTCGTCCGGCAGCCTCAGCTCCTAGAACCCCGTACTTGGAGGGCATCTGGCTGCCTTATGTGTGTGACGCTGGGCAAAGAAGGGACCCCCAGGCTGGGGACTGGCCACCGTGGGAGGCAGGCAGGCGGCCATCCAGTGGCCTGGCTGGTAGGAGGAGCCCCACGTGCCCAGGCCTCCAGGCGGCAGCTCAGGGCTTTGTCTCTGCTCCGTGACACACGGCCCGCTTGGCTTGTGTGTGTCCTAACCCGGGCAGGGAAGACGGGGCCCTCTGTCTGGCCTGTTCTCCCGCGGAGCAGTACCTGTGGAAACGAGGCCCTGAAGCGGCTTTGCAGGGGTCCCCACCCCAGGCGGGCCATGGCATCAGCCCTGCAGGCAGGAACAACATGGTGGCTGGGTGCCTTGGTTGGCTGCGTATCTCCTGGGAGGCAGGACTCTGGCTAATAAAAACCACGTGTGAGCACCACGGAGACTCGCGCCTTTCTTTTCTTTGCCCTAAAGGAGCTCGCAGCTTAATGGGGAGTGTTGGTACGCATATAAAAAATTACAGTGCAGTAGAGCAAGTGATATCCCAGAGATGTGTACGTGGAGACATTTGCGGAAGGGGGAGTAAATTACTGTCCTCTCAGTTGAATGAAAACAGTGAAAAAGGGAGTTGGTTATTTTGTGGTCTCAGGCTCCAGAGATTACTGTCAACAACTGAGTCATTTAATCCAAACATAGGCACTAAGACCAGAAAAAGAAAAGACTGAGCAATGATGAGTGGCTGCCCCAAGTGCCATTTCCACAGCAGCCACAGTAGTCTCTTTGAAACTTAAGTGAGACCCTGTCACTCCTGGTCAAAACCTTCCCGAGGCTCCGCACAGCGTTCACGGTTCAGGATGAAGTTCTCACCATGGACCACAAAGTCCTGCACCATCTGGTGCCCCAGTCTCTGGCCCTGTGAGTCCTACCACCCCCCGCCTTCTCCCTTGACTCACTCCACCCATGCCCTCCTGGTCTTGCTGTTCCTAATCACACCAGGCCATGCTTATGCCTCAGGGCCTTTGCACAGGTTGTTCCCTCTGTTAGAACACTCTCGCCCTGAGACCTGCGTGACCTGCTCCATCATTTCCTCTTGACCAGTGTCACATTATCAGTGAGATAACCACTATTCTCATCTGCCCTGGCCCTCCATGTCTCTGTCTCAGCTTTACTTCTGTGTCATTTATCATCATTGACAGATTGTGTTGCTTGTCTGTTTATTGTCTTGCTCATCTCATTCAGGTGTAAACTCCAGGAAGGCAAGGACTTTGTTTACTGCTGTATCCCTAATGTAGAGAATAATGCCTGATACATACTAAGGTCTAAATATATATTAGTTACTAGGCGAACAGCCTTGCCCATCAGTAAGAAATTAATGCCTTTGGATCTCGTGTCTGTATAGTAGGTGTTGAGGGAAGATATGATGCCTACCCTGAAAAAATCTATCAAGAAATCTGAAATCCTGAGCTATCTGGCAAGTGTTAATAAAGCATTGTAGGACACAAAATAATCCGACTAGAAAGGAACTCCATAAGCCTTACTTCGCTTGTTTGAAAGATAAACCCTGCTTACCTGTTCATATGGTATTTTTTCTCTCTGAAAATTAAGTACCAAGTGTCTACAAAAGATGATTTAGGAAATATGTGTGGAGGATGGTTAAAAACAACACAGCACATCCTTAGGTACCGCTCTCTGGGTTAAGCAACAGAGCGTGACTGTTGCCTCGTAGAAGCCCCCTGTCTGCTCTTCACAAACATCTTCTCCTCCCCTGACCCCCCTCCCCCCCGAGAGAACCACCAACCTGGACTGAGAGTTTAGCAAGTGCTGAGAAGTTGTTCAGAGAACTGAGGGATGTTGCTCTGCTGAAGCGCCTCCCGTCATCTGCTTTCTTACGGGAATGATGTTCTGGGCTTACAGCCTTGAAAAAACAACAATAAAAGAATTGCTGGTGACTCCTGTAATCATTCATCCATAAATGTGTGATCTGACTGGGGAGGAGGTAGAGCCCTGCCTCATTCATTGAATTAGGAGATAATGTTCACAGTGAAGTTTATTTTTCATGTTTACTCTTTATCAAATGTTTATATTTATGATCAGTTATATGCTAATAACAATTGTAATAACTCCCCAGTCCAGGAGAAACGCTTCTTAACACTTAGAGCTTTTACACTTACAGGACATGAAACAAGTTTTAAAATTCTGATGTATAATCACTTTTTTTTTATAAAGAAATACAATAGAATACTCAGTGTAAGAATTTCAAGCATAAAAGGATATAATTCCATTCGGGAGGGGAAACGGAAGTCTGAAGGAGAGGGAAGGATGGAAAATTTCAGGTCGTGTATTTAGGGGTGATATGCCAGAAAATGTCTGTTGTAACTATTTTAATTTTATAATGAAAAATTCTAGCTGTCAGCTGAAAAGGCTTGACGAGGCTCTCATAGCTTCTTAAGTCCTCTTAAAGGGTGTTCAAGAAAGAGAGATGGGAGGCACTGCTTCACTTTGCATGCAGATTCCCTAGGGAGACTTTGTCCTTCGCACCGTGGCTTGGCACTTGAGAAAGAGAACTGGGCTGGGACTGATTCTTCTGGATTTGAATCCGAGTCTACCACGTACTAGTTATGTCCTCCTGGGCAAAGCACTGAAGTTCCCTGAGCCTTAGTTTCCTCATCCGTAAAATGGATATAAGGGGTATTTTGCCTGGGCAAGGCTGTGGGGCTTGTGTGTCATTGGTGAGCAGCACTGGGATTCACCCCATCCCCAGAAGACTTGATTCGAATTTGAGGTCTCGATGCTACTGAACGGACATGTTTATGCAGGGTTGCAATGTAGCTCAAGGAGAATGGAAGCCTAGAGACCTGGAGGGCTGTCCAGAGATGCAGAACTGTTTTTCTGCAGCTTCAAAAGGGGCTGCTGAAGGGTCACACCACCTGGGGTGTGGCAGTGACTTCCAGTTTAATTAACAAGACCAGCTGCGCCATCTCCTGACGCCATAAAGGCTCTTCCCTCAGCCTCTGTCTTGCTGGTCTTGGGGCATCACCTTGAGCCTTCACTTGCCCTTAACCCTGCCCAGCCTTTGCCAACAGCCCCTCCATTACACTCTCCTCAACTTGAAGTAGAAAAGAAGGAGGGAAAGAAGTCAGTTGTTGCAGATTCTAGAAAGCGAGGAGGATTAGAACAAAGCTGTGAATACATGTGACCACCCCTGGGGAGGTGGCTCTGGGAGAAGGCTGGGCGTTCTCCCAGTTTAAAGGTGGGTCCTTGAGGCTGGAGATGTGTGCACTCAGGGTATTTCTTCGAGCCCTGCTGTTTGATCATATACATGAAGGTCTCCAGCGCAACACTGGTCTAAAACATGCCAATTTCCTGCTCTTTGTACTCACACGCACCAACCAGACACTAGTGAATAGACCAGATGCAGTGGCACCTGAGGGGTCTGAACACTCACACCTTGAGAACTTACGGTCAGGCCTTCCTGCTGTTCCCTGTTGGGACTGACAGTTTGACGGCTTTTATTTGCTTCTCGTGGAGTTTGTGCTCATGGGAGGGATGGCCCGTTTCGCTTATCCTAAATAAGCCTTTCAAAATAGAGGACGGTTGCTTCCTTGGGGTTAGTTAGGATGGCCGTACCCAGCCAGCATGCGCATCTTTTTCCAAGAAGATTCTATGTGTTGGGGGGCAGTGGGGTTCTGTAAGAAACCTCAGCTGTAGGAACAAATAGGCGTGAATCCCAGGCGATAACACAAAGTGTCGGAGACTGTCCTGTTCACAGCAGGTGACGCCGACGTGGCTCCAGCTCTCCCGTGAACGCCAGTCAAAATGTGTTACTTCCCTGAATGGGACTCAGCAGCGGTGGTAACAAGTCACCCTTCCTGCCGACAGAGTCCACGGCAAAAAGAAAGGCGCACGTGGGCCGGGTGGCTTGTGTGATACACGAAGAAAGAGCCGTGGTTTCGCCTCTCGGATCACCAGGCAGCCTTCTGACTGTGAGCTGGCTGGCTTCTTACACACTTTGCTTTCAAGAAGACAATATATTTGTGCTGAGCTTTTAAATTGTGAAACTATTAAAAGCCACAGTCTCATTTTCATTTATGGTGTCATATATACAGGCAATTAAAATATCACCTAGAATTTATCTAGTCCCCGTTCCTCATGCAAGGCAACTCATCTTAATAAGACTGGTCCTCAGGCAGGTCCGAAGCCTGGGGTAGCTCCTGGGACATGGCCTTTGGTTTATCTGCTCTTTTGAGCCAACGATCTCAAGAATGTGTCGGGTTTGTACTGCACTTGGTGGACAGACAAGCAGCTAGAGGCTGCACAACAGTGGAGTGTGTGTGTGTGTGTGTGTGTGTGTGTGTCTGCTGGGAGGAAAGGGTAAGTATACAAATATCCCATGTCACCTTCAGGGAGGTGGCCTGGCAAGGTGGCCACCCAACAAATCCAACCTAAAGAAGCTCCAGAAGCAAGGGGGACGCCTGCATCTGAGGACCTCACACACGCACACCACTGGCACAGCGTGCATGGAGAGGGGTGGGAGGGGGCGGTGGCGCCCAGCCAGCACCCAGAAGTGAAGTTAGAGGAAAAACTTTTACGTTCTGTGTGGGCTTCTCCTGCGTATTGGCCTTGAGGCTACCACGGCCACCCCCTCTGCCACGGTTCCAGTGGCAGCAGCCCAGGCTGCAGGCGGCTGTGCAGGGCAGGCCCTGCGGCAGAGTGGTGAGCAGCTGATGGCCACCTGCCCAGGGCCTCTCCTCTCCCCTGTCCTCCCCTCTCTGAGACCCATGGGAGGCGGATTAAAAACCAAGGCTACTCTCTCATTCCAATGCTGTTCAGTCTTGAGAGTTTAAAGTGAACTTTGAACAAAGCTGCGAAGCATTAGCAAATGAGCTTCTCCATTGTGATTCTTCACCCTGGGGCTCCCTCCCTCCCCTCTTCTTAGGTTCTCTGGAGAGATACCAACTAGGGCCTGGCCTTTAGCCCTTGTCAATACACATCCTCAGACCCCAGGGTCGAAATAACCAGACCCCTGAGGATACCAGGAAAGAGATACAACACCCTGGCCAGCACATATCATTTGAAGCAAAACTGTTGGAACATGTGGACCCCAATTTTTAAGTAACATGACAAACATACTCTAAAAGAGGACATTTGAATTATATTTTGCTGTAACAAGAAGCTGTAATAAAAAAAATGGAAACATTATGTATGAGAAATATAAAAAAATGACGACCCCAGAGCAGACAGACGCATGAAACAGAGCTGATCTGTATGAAAGGCCCTCCTGGGAAGCAGCAGGAGAGAAAGGAGAACATATTTTTTAAAAGCTGAGAGACATGGAAATGGTGAAAGCAGAGGTGGTAAGAGATGAATAACAGGTGGAGAAAATGTACTTGGAGAAATGATAAAAATGAACCTCTCAGAACTAAAGAAAGATGGAAGATCTCAG